TCTTTTGTTCTGTATCATCCATTCAGTTGGTTTAGAAACAGTTATAATTTTAAAAGGTAAAAATAAAGCATTGTCACTTAGATTTGATAGAAAAAAACTCAAGGCTCATCACATGTAGATTTCCAAGTTCTAATTACTTGCTATTTTTAAAGGGGTAATTTTCGGGATTAACTACAATGTACAATGTTACTGTGTCATATGTGTTGCTGCCCTCAATTTCCTTTTACCTCTAGTGCCTGACTCCTGTATATTTTTTAATCAGACCACACAAAATCTGAAGATTATGACCATTTTTCGAATGATCTCTTTTGGATGTCTGAACACCAGGGAAGAACGTTGTTCTCTGGAGCCAGAAATTCAATCATTTCTGTGTTCAAATTAGAAAACATCTACAGGCCTTCTTTATTAAGATGAAACAAATTGTATTTACTTAATTTTTATGGAGATATTAAGAAGTTTGATTATTTTAAATAATAACTGGAAATACATGTATGCTAGAGAGAGAGAGAGAGAGAGAGAGTGTGTGTGTGTGTGTGTGTGTGTACTCACTCATGTGTATGTGTGTTAGTCTTGATGAACTCAAAACCAAAAAGCTTGCCCATGTAATTGTAACCCCTTTGTACGGTATGTTCACAATAAAAAAAAAAATCTCCATTAAAAAAAAACACCAAAAAGCTGTAGAGAAAGCACAGAGAGCACAGAGAGCACTCTACCACTTGAGTCACAGCTCTACTGCTAATTCCTTGTTATGTCGAAAAACGAACTTTACAACTTTGGGGAGCAGGGAGAGATGGGAAGGGATGGGAAGGGAAACAAAGGAGGAGGCAACAATGCTTGATAAGAAATGTACTCATTATCTTAATTGTAACCCCTCTATATGGTATTTTCACAATTAAAAAAGCAAGAAATAAAAAAATAAAAATAAGAGTCTTACAGACTTTCCTGCCTGATCTGGCTTCAAATATTATTCTCAGATCTCAGCCTCCTTAGTAGCTAAGATTACAAGTGTATGCCACTGGCACTTGGCTGTATAGGCTAGTTTTAATTTATGTATAAACCTAACTACTATTTTACCATAACTCCATCTTATGGTTCTAATGGAAGATTTACCATCCAAAATAGGTTCAAGAATCAGTAAAAAACTTAGCTCACTGTTTGCAGAATGTTCTTTTTTTTCATTTTCCATTAATCACTTCTTCAGGTGTTTATTTCAGTTATTTGAAATGCCAATTAACAAATCAAAAGGTTCTCTATATGTCTATATTTCTAGTTATGTAATTTAAAAAGACAAGTCTAAATTTAATTATATATTTGTAGAATGTTTTTACTGTCAGGATGACACAAAATTTATGGATTCAAGTAATAAGAAACCGCTACTGTTTCAGGTTTGAGATACTACAGGTATTATTTTTAATAAATATAAATGTACAGATACATTAATGTGTATATGTACATAATTACATCTGTTAATTTAAAATTTCAGCTTACTTTTCACTAAAATATGCTTCAATATAGTGAGTGATTTGAGTATAATTATAAAGATGAACTTTATATTTCATAGGTACAGTCCTAATAAAAGCCCCTTCTTCACTTTCACTGTGAAACACACACACACACACACACACACACACACACAACCTTTCACTATTCTCTACTCACACACTATAGTAATTCACCCGTGATCATCAAAATGTATGTGAGTTTCATCTCCCAACAATGGGGGTCAACAACCCATTGTCCAACCAACTACAAACTGGGGTCATCATGGCTGTCTGTGTGTGTTTGATTAATTTTCTGTAACAGCTCATGGATCTCTGGAAAGCAATATGCTTATGCTTTCCCATAAACTACATAGGATTCACATGAATAGCCAGATGCAGAGATGAATTGGAAAGGACATGTGCTTCCACATCCTCTACTGAAGGACCTCACTCCTCCCAGCACATTGTTCAACACCTATGCTCTTTGAATCACGTGCCTTGAGTTTCTCTGATGGCTTTATTACAAAGGCCTTAGTGATTGGACACTGAACATTGATAATTCAATATTCAATTATTTCCTTTTTCTCAAGTAGGATTGAATGTTATATCTTTCTACATAGTTTCCATCCTGATTTCTCCAGGAGTCCACCAAGAGAATCTCATACTACCTTTTAAGAGCTCCTCAACAGAACAAAAATAAGCCTATTACTCAGGAAACATCAGGACTTAGAATGCTGTTAGCAACTGAGGTGAAAGACCAAAATTTTGAACAAAAATATTATAACACTCTTAATTAATTAAAAGGATTTCAAGGGCATATAATTAATTACTATTGGCAGATGGAAAATATGCATTATTTGTTTTATCAAAATATCACACTTCCAACTAGTTTCAACATTTAACTATTTGATTGCCAGTTCTTTCACCATCTTGCTGATTTGCACATATAGATGTTCTTCTCAATGTTGTATTTTTAATATTTCATCTGTAAGATTTGTTTTGTTTTATCTCATTTTGTTTTGCTTTTTAATGTCAGTACTGAGGCCTGATCTCAGGGCCTCATGTTCTCATTAAAGCTATTTTGTTTATGGCTGAAGCTCTACTTGAAACACACACACACCTTAGTTTTACATTTTGCTGGTTAAGTGGAAATAAGAGTCACTCTGATCTGTGTGCCTGGGCTGGCTTTGAACCCAAATTCTCTATGTCAGCCTCCTGAGTAGGTAGGATTAGAGGTGGCAGCTATGAATTCACAGCTTTCATCTTTAAGTTTGATACTTTGCAGATGGTTTTGTCTCTAAAATATATATTATTTCTCATAGAATGCATGTCACAATCCTAGTATCAATTTTCAAATATTATGTTCTGCTTGTATTTACAATGGTTTAACATATATTTAAATGTTCATGACATGAAATAAATAATGACAAATCTTGCTAAAAGTAGAAAATCCGTATGTACACAAGGAAAATAATTGTTATGTTGAAAGCAGGAGCTAGGAGATGAAAAATCAAAATGAGTTAGATCAGATTTTGACTATTTCTCCTATCTTCTTCATTCTTTATATAGTACCTGTGATTTTTTTTTTAATGGCATTTAGGTTAGGCATGATGGTACATCCTGGTAATGTAAGCTACTCAAAATGGAGAGGTAATAGAATCATAGTCCAAGGTTGGCCAGGGGCAAAAGTTCACAACCTTATTGAAAAAAATAACTAAAATTCCAAAAGTGTTGGGAATGTTGCTTAAGAAGTAGAGTCTCTGTCTAGTAATTGTGCTGCCCAAAGATCAAGCCGCCATATTGTAAAACAACAAACAGATACGTTTATTTTGAGAATTACTGAAAAGATACAGAATGCATCCATACAACATGATAGGGATTATGAACAATTATTCCTATTATTAATGCTTCGAAAAAGTTAAATATTTCAAAGATGAGAACCTATGGTTTACTTGTCATTTCTTCTCTAAAAGGTAATTTTTTTTATTTTTTTTATCAATAAGTTTTTTACTGAAAATACCATACAGAGGGGTTACAATTACATGAGCAAGGTAATGAGTACATTTCTTATCAAGAATTGTTGCCTCCTCCTTTGTTTCCCCTTCTCATCTCCGCCCCCACCCCTACCCCCACCCCCACCCCACACCAAAGGTGTAAAGTTCGTTTTTCGACATAACATCTTATACATCTCATCGTTGCAATGGGTCCACTTGTATGCCTATTTAAACAATTTGTTTTTTCTTTCCCCTCCCCAAATTATAATTTTGACATGAGAATCCTTTGCAAGTACAATCTTTATTGCTCAACTAATGGGATAGACCCCGAGACAGGCAACTTAGGAAATTTTCCTGCTGTAAGAACATCATTATACACATTCTAAGAGGGTCACAAGTCTCATGAGCTCAAAATTCCATGTTCTCTGTCATTAACCAAAATTACCTTATGAAGTACGTGATCAGAATGTATTCAATTACTGTTATCATTATATATCAATCATAATAGAGTTTTATTATGATATTATATAGATCAATTCAACACACATTGTTCAAATTCATTTCCTCCATTATTCTTAGTCCCATTCTTTATCTACTTATTCTGTTATCTTCATTTAAACATGCATATATAGTGATAAGTGTATTTTTGTCATTGTCCTCCCATTCTCTATTCCTCTGCTTATGCTTCCTCAAGAAAGCAATAGAAATTATAATATGATAGAACATATATTATATATAAAATGTATAATACATTATAGATTATATATAATCATATAAATTATCAATATATAATATGCTATATGTAATATATTATATAATAATATCCCATAATTATTATGATTATTTAAATGTAGATTTGCATATAAGAGAAAACATGCAGTATTTGGCTTTTGAATTTGGTTTTTCTCTTTCAACATGATAATCTTTATTGCTATACATTTGCTCAAATATGGCATAATTTTATTCTTTATTGCTGATACTATTTCATTGTGAATATACACAACATTTTTGTTACTTATTCCTAAATTATTAAGCACCTGGATTTTGTTAAAGATGATCTTTTAGATAAACCTTTTGGGTGAATAGGAACGGTGGAGGAGATGTGAGATACCCATAAGTCACATTCAGGCAGAGCTGTGTCATTAGATAGAACTCTTGGGAAAATATAATTTCAGGTATTTCTGGGAAAGATTTGCTTCAATACTGCAAAGAAAATCTCCTAATGTGAGGTGTGAGCCATTAGCAGCAGGATGTAGACTCAGGACCTGTTCAGGGCACCAAGGTTAAATGGTATGATCCTCAACAAATTAGTTGTTCCACATCTCTCGGCTAAAGAAGGATAGCATTAAATTATAATTTAACCTAACATGGAATCTTCTTAGTGAGTGTTCGGTGCTTCTAATGGTACCATAGCCTATACTTATGCACAAAGTAGGTCTTAAAATTTGTGAATTGTTCAACTCAGTGAGTTCACAGAATATGCAATGTTCCTTATTTTCTCTGTACTCCTCTTTGGATCTAACAGGCCAGAACCTGTGTTGTGGACAAAAGATGGCGGAGAGCTACCGGATCCTGATCGAATGGTTGTGAGTGGCAGAGAGCTCAACATTCTGTTCCTGAACAAGACTGACAATGGCACATACCGATGCGAAGCCACAAACACCATTGGCCAAAGCAGCGCGGAATACGTCCTCATCGTCCATGGTAAGTATCTTTCTGAAAGCACTGAAGGTGAGAGAATGGCCTAAAAAGGTTGCTTAAATTTGTCAAAGTCCTTAGCATAATAAACCAAATTAAAGAGCTGGTTGCTCTTTCATCAGGACTTTTCATAAACATAAACATCTCCAAGATTTGCATTAATACGTTCCAAGAAAGGCTAATAAAAGAAAATTACAGCACACACTAAGAATAAGATTATTTTGTGAAAAAGTTTGTCATAAACACTTTTATTTAATTTTTGGTGGTGACTCATAAATGTTAATGCATATCTTTAATTTTGCAAATTAAAGGATTTTTATTAAAATCTAGAGTTATGAAAACTATTTCCTTTAATTAACTTGCAGTTGTATGATCAAAAAAACAACCTTTTAAAAATCTTTCTAACTGGCTACTCATAAAAATTATAGTACTCAAAAATAGAAAGTCCTAGAGACAATATTATTGATGACAGAATAATACAATATCAATGAGCAATTTCATATGAATAATTGTTGCAGTTCACACAGCGAGACCGGGGAACGCAGCGTCTGGTAGGTAGAATGGGACCCTACCGTGCGAGTATAGCCAAAGTTTATTAAAACGTCATACGCTTATGCTTATATAGGGCACAGGGGCATAGAAGGTAAGTCTGTAGTCATGGAATCATCACAAGACAGAAAGTTGACCTTAAACAATTTCGGGGGAATGTGGACAATTAGCAACCTTTAATCAGTGGGCGGGAAGAGTTGTTCAAGATAATAAAAGAGGAAGCAAAGTGGGCGGGGGCTCCATTAAAAAACACAAAAGGCATCATGAGGCATTGTTCTACGTGATTAAATAGGAGGAGCACAAATGGCACTTCCCACAAACCATCTCCTGAGTGTGACAGGCAGCGCATGGTTTTTTTGCCCAGCGTGGGGCACCCAGAGGGAATGCATGACAGCATGTACCCCATGGCACACAGGAACTCAGATGGAGTCACGCCGGTCGATGCCTCGGACAAATAGTAAATTGCAATATCTGTATACTTTTCTTCTTGATTGAACTTATTTCATAATTGGTGTGAATACAACAAAATAACAGGAAATAATGCCTATACTCCTTAGTGAAGACAATCACTGTCTTTTCAACCACAAGAAGTCACATGGATTGTCCATAGGTAGCTTTAACATATCATTAAATGGAGCTAACTTTTTATGATATCAATAAGTACTGTAATTAATAAAATTATACATTGCCCCTGAGGTTTATTTTGTATGCCAGGCTAAAACCGCATCTCTCTAAGAGAATATAACATTTCCCTTAGATATTTCACCAAGAGAAACATGCTTAATAGTACCAGTATATTCTTTTCAGTATTAAAAAAATTCTGAAATTCTGTAATTTTATGTAAAACAAAATTCTGTAAAAATCCAATGATTTGGGGTGTTTTTGGTTGGTTGTGGGGCTTGAACTTTGGGCCTTAGGCGATGTCCCTGAGCTCTTCAGCTCAAGATGAGTGCTCTAAAACGTGTGCCACAGTGCAACTTTTGGTTTCCTGGTGGTTAATCAGAGGTAAGAATTTCATAGACTTACCTGCTTGGGCTGGCTTTGAACTGTGGTCCTCAGATCTCAGCCTCCTGAATAGATAGGATTACATGCATAAGGCACTGATGCTGGCTAAATCCAGTGAATTTTAAGAATCATGTATAAGTTTTGCTTATGTGATATCTTCATATGAATCTAATTATGGAATACAGTAAGAAGCATAGATTAGTTCCATAGATTTATACAAAAATAGAATTGTCTAATTCTTTGTAAAGAGTTTTAATTTACCAAAAATAATAATAATAACCCTGCTTTTCTGATTTTTCCTTGTGTTCATTTTGTAAAGATGTGGGTTAATGTGGGAGAAAAATAATATAGAAAAGTAAGACTTTTCTTACTTTTAGGCAACCTTGGTTATATATATGTGTGTGTATTTTCATTCATTTCACAATGGCCCTTGGTGCTGCTAAAAAGATGAGGGCAGACAGTGAATAAACTCTCCACATATATACCTCTTCAACATGGTAAAGCTAAACATTTAATTTCTAATATTTTATAAGTAGTACAAGCTGGTTGCCAGTGGCTCTCCCCTATAATCCTAGCTACTCAGGAGGCCGAGATCTGAGGACTGTGGTTCAAAGCCAGACCAGGTACGAAAGTCTTCTTATCTTCAATAAACTACCAGAAAACCAGAAGTGGTGCTGTGGCTCAAGTGGGAGAGTGCTAGCTTTGACTTGAAGAGCTAAGAGACAGCACCCAGGCCCAGAGTTCAAGCCCCATGACCAATATATATTTATATTTATATATATATATACACACACACACATATATACATTATATACTATATTATATATATTAGAAAGCTCATCTTTGGGAAAGCTTAACACAATCAAGTATGGAATTAAATGTTGTATGTTCCTATAGACAGAACATCTAGACTTACTACCAGAATGAATTGAACGATTAATGCAGGGGTAAAGAATATAAATTAGATCCAGGAAGCCAGATTCAAGAATATGGGTATAATTAGATTGTATAGTATCAAGGTTAAGTATACTGTCTGTGATTCTTCCTAAGTTTTAAGTGTTTCTCTCACATTATGATTTCTCAGAAAGCAGTTGCATGTTGGGGAGTGTGTGCCATTGTGCTGAAAGCAACAACGCAAAGAATACAGAGAATTAGAAGGCTAGTGACAAAAGAAATAATATAGTCAGATAAGGAACATGCCACTTGTTTCTTTAAGGCAATTCAAATGGGCTAAATTCATATTTTTTTTTCTGATGTTTGTAGGCTAGCCAACAGCATGGTTTCCTAAATAGCCAAGCTACCTTTAGGTAGTTGGCAGCTGACATATTTCAAATAAATAGTTCTCTAAGCTCTTTGTAAGAAGTCATTTTTGGCTTTGCTTTTTGAACTTCAATTCATCAAAAGCACCCCATAGATTAACGCTATTCATGCTGCTAGATAAATGCTGTGAAGTTCAACAGTCGTTTACCTAGGATTATTGACTCGAGTAATGAGAGGTTTGATGAAACAGTGAAACCATGTTACAGTGTGTTTAAAAAGGGTTCCAATTGGGTTCGTTACAAAATAAAGTGTTTTTTCCCCTTTGCACACTGGGCATAATGTTTCATTAGTCACTGGTTGTATAAATATAAAGCTGCACTCTTCTGTAAATGGTTTTGCTGTTTCAAAACCTACTAAGCAATGAAATTTGAGTGGCATTTCAATCCATAATGACATCTGTATGCATTTCAGAATTGGATGATAAGCGATCATTTCTGATAACTTTACCCTTCTATCTTTTATACCAAAGATGATTTTTACATTAGCTGTGATAATTTAATATGGCTCTAGCATAAGATTTTTCATGAACAGAATCTCCTGTCTGAGCCTCCCACAATTGCCCAGATTCTATTGATTGTTAACCTGATAGACTGCTGAGCAGTTTTGTGTGAAATCATCAGCTATCTACATGCATCTTTGTGGTTAGATTTTATTCTTTGAGTGTCAATGGAAAGAGCATGATTTAAAGGCTCTCACAGCTAATTGTCAATGGCACTGATATTTTGTGTTATGTATACTAGTAGATTTTGTCCCACTCTTACTTGCACCTTTTGAAATTTAAGAACGAGGAGTACAAATGGTAATTTGAAACCGTGGGTACAAAATTTACCTGTAATGAAATTCCTAACTGGAGCCAGGGAACAAATACCTATATGATAACGTATTATACTTATGAAGAAGAATGTGCACCATGGAGTTTCCAATAGTAGAGTAGGTATCAGTTTCACTAAAAAACTCAACAATAGAAAAAATTAACATATTAAGTTAATAAGCATGTTTATATTAATTAATTCCTGAGAGCATAGTTATTTCTTACATTTTGCTTTCTTACTTAAAGGTTGAAATTTTTTCTTGTTATATATGCTATCATATTTATTTCTTTAAAATCCAGAATCCAAAGGCTAATAAATTTGAAATATATTTTTCTTTTTTAAAAGTTTTCTTGTTGGTCATGTGGCTTCAGCTCATGGCTTGAGTTCTGTCCCTGGGCTCTTGTGCTTAAGGCTAGTGCTCTACCACTTTGAGCTACAACAGAACTCCCCGGTTTCTGGTAGTTAATTGGAGAAAAGTGTCTCATGGTTTTTCCTTCCTGGGCTGGCCTTGAACAATGATCCTCAAATCTCAGCCTCCTGAGTAGCTAGAAATACAGATGTGAGCCAGCAGAGCCTGACTTAAAATATGTTTTTTATTGCCATATTTATATCTAGATAATTTAACCACAAGAACAATTGATTCCTTTATTAAAAAATGACAGTATTTATCTTTTTAGAACAATGACACTCAGGTAAATGACACTCAAGAAGATTGTAGTTTAATATGAAAAGGAAGTCATACATAGCTGCACATGATTGAAACATAGGAGAGTGAAATCCAAGAATCTGGGATTTAAAAAAAAATAGTAATTCACGAATTCTGGATTTTTCCTAATTGACAAATATAAATGGAAGTATCACATACTATGTCAGATACATAGATTTATTCATAGATTAATACAAAGTTTAATGCATCTATTATTGTTGTTTATTTTAGTAATAACCTTCTTATACAAAGGACAATTCAATTATAATAATTACTAAAGGACTGCAGAAAGTTTACTGACACAGATGTTTCTGAATAGTATCCAGATTATAAATTAAATTAATTTTACTAAAGAACAAAAACACTCAAAATTCTTGCTAACAAAGCAATAGGAAAAAAAATCTTTAAAATATAGAAATAGAGCAAATTATAATTTGTTTGATTATACAGGTGTCTATTAAATACTGATATTTATGTTGCCAGTGAAATTGTTTGTTTCAGATGTAGCACTCACATATATGTATATATCTATATATGATTATCTTAAAAGAGTAGTTGTTTTAATCTTTTAGATAATACATATGCATGTATATATACACCTATACACACTTATT